TTTTGTTTTGAAAGATTTCCAGATGTACAAACACAACTAACTCAGGTCATTAGCCTTTACAGTTTTGTTAAAGTGTGTTCTCTTATAAGCTAAGTTTCATTCTTAAACAAATCATTCCCACTCCTTTGACAAGCTAAAGCAATCTTTGCCTAAATTTATTTCTGTTTCATGAGATCACCTTCGTGGTCTAGTGGGTAGAGTGCTTGCCTGGAGAGTTTTTGTTTGTTTGTTTGTTGTTTAACGCCGCATTCAGCAATATTCCAGCTATATGATGGCGATCTGTAAATAATCGAGTCTGGTCCAGACAATCCAGTGATTGACATCATGAGCATCGATCCACGCAATTGGGATAGATGACATGCATCAACTAAGTCAGCAAGCCTGACCCCCCGATCCCATTTGTCGCCTCTTACAAGCATCGTCGCCTTTTACGTCAAGCATGGGTTGCTGAAGGCCTATTCTACCCCGCATCTTCATGGAGAGTGGAAGGTCAGGGGTTCAATCCCTGGCCACATCATACCAAAGGCATCTAAAAATGTTACTTATTGTTACCCTAACTGGTGCTTGGCATTATGGGATGAAACAAGGACAGGCCGGCTTGGAGTCAGTATACTGCGTCTGAGTGGGGTATTCATGTTAAACTGTACATGGTATCTCAGTGGGCTAGCACTATAAATCGGCATCAGTCCGGACTAGTACAAGCCTCAATGACGTCTGAGTATGGTGACATCAGCAAACTTACCCAATGCCCAGCTGAGTCGGCTACCAGGCACCTAGCTATTCCGACCCTGAATCACCACAGGCTTATATCTCTATGGCTCAGTCGCTACAAGGCACTTAGCTATTCCGACCCTGAATCACGACAGGCTTATATCTCTATGGCTCAGACACTACCAGGCACCTAGCTATTCCAACCCTGAATCACCACAGGCATGTATCTCTATGGCTCAGTCGCTACCAGGCACCTAGCTATTCCGACCCTGAATCACCACAGGCTTGTATCTCTATGGCTCAGACGCTACCAGGCACCTAGCTATTCCGACCCTGAATCACCACAGGCTTGTATCTCTATGGCTCAGTCGCTACCAGGCACCTAGCTATTCCGACCCTGAATCACGACAGGCTTATATCTCTATGGCTCAGTCGCTACCAGGCACCTAGCTATTCCGACCCTGAATCACCACAGGCTTGTATCTCTATGGCTCAGACACTACCAGACACCTAGCTATTCTGACCCTGAATCACCACAGGCTTATATCTCTATGTCTCAGACACTACCAGGCACCTAGCTATTCCAACCCTGAATCACCACAGGCTTGTATCTCTATGGCTCAGTCGCTACCAGGCACTCACCTAGCTATTCCGACCCTGAATCACAACAGGCTTGTATCTCAGTCGAGTGCACAATTTTGAGAATCATGCATGGTAGGGGGAGTCTCTGTTGTCTGTGTACAAGATATTGATAACACATAATAACTTTAAACCAAAATGTTACTTCAACCATTCAGAAGCATTAGTCAACTGACTGAGTAATTTAACCCCACACTGAACAGTGTTTCAGCAACCTCACAGAACATCAGGCTGATGTGTCAGAAAAACTCAACCCCAAAGGTCCTAAACGTTTATCTCCTCGAGTATGGAGCTGCCAAACCAAAAGTCCTGATCAGGGAAATCGGGGATCCAAGGATTTGTCGAAGTGACACAACTCTGTAGTGATAGGTCGACCCTGACAACGGGGTCCCCATGTATCCCAGTCAACATGAACAACCTGTAGATACAACAAGAGTCATCAGGTGATGACATATCTCCCCGGTCTGGTGCAATTCAGAAATGGAGTTTGTCTACTCATACCCCACTTTTGATTCACTGCCACTTGATAAGTTCAGTTGAGTGAAGAAAAACTTAATGCTGTTCAGCGCTTTTCAACATCCCAAACCATCAAAAGGCACCAGTTCTCCACTAGACTGATCTGTAAAGCAATTTTCGACAGGAAATATTCAATGCTTTTGGAGTTTTGCTCCGGAAACGAGCACTACCCTCATATTCAGTAAGTCCAACTTCATGAAACCATAATAAAATATTTTTTTAAATTCCCAAATTATCAAAAAGCACCAGTTAAACACTAGACTGATAAATATAGCAAGTTTGCTCTATACATATTTAACAGCTTTGGAGTTCCTCTCCTGAAACGAGCACTACCCTCATTTTCAGTAGAAATCAACCTCGTTGTCATGGCAAAAAAATAAATTAATAAAATTAAAAATCCCAAATCTTTAAAATGCACAAACTCACCACCAGACTGATCTGTATATCAAGTTTCAACAAGAAATATTTAATGTTTATACTCAGGAAACGGAAAACGGACGGATACACATATGCTAATCAAGATAACCCCCCGCTTTTCAGAAGATGGATAAAAAACCTCCTGAAGAACAGATGAGAAACTTTGAATGACACTGAACGTCACAGCTAACTCTCAGTTTCCTTGATGTCAATTTTGGAAATGATGTGACTGAAAAAAGATGTGTCGCACAAAATAATGTGCCTAATTAGCAGGACTTTTTTCTTCTAAATTTAGTCAAGTACAATGGTTTCTATGTCTTCATGTTGACATCAGTGTCATATGTGTGAAACTGTTAATTGTTATACACAGTAATCACAAGATTAACGTGAGCATAAAATTCATAAGTGATACATTTGTATCTGTATATTTGGCATTTATTTTCATGTCAAGTTCACTGCACGTATCAGAAACAAAGACATGTAACTGAGTGCTTCTTACAAAATTTCATGTCCAGTGAAGTCAATTTGTTTACACATGTTGATCAAGTGAAGTTTGTGACGAAAGCAAAACATATTTTTCAGTCAAAGTGCCATCACCCCATATCCTGGTATTCTAAGTCAACTTCTTGGTGTTATCGTGAGCTGAGTTCACAGGTTGGGCGACTCGCATTTGAACCAGTAATGTCATATTGGTTGGTTGGTTGGTTGGTTTGTGGTTTAACGCCGCACTTAGCAATATACCAGCTATATGACGGCGGTCTGTAAATAATCAAGTCTGGACCAGACAATCCAGTGATTGATATCATGAGCATCGATCCACGCAATTGGGATCGATGACATGCATCAACCAAGTCAGTGAGTCTGACCACCCGTTTCTGTTAGTCGCCTCTTACGACAAGCATAGTCGCCTTTTACGGCAAGCATGGGTTGCCGAAGACCCATTCTACCCCGGATCTTTGGGGGTCCTGTAATGTTGCACTTTAGGGTTGGCGTTGACACTCACATTAATTTGGTGATTCATTAATTTCATGATTTACTGGAGAAAGACACCATGAAAAACTGAGCAGACACATATAAACCAGTTTGAACAACTGGAATCAAATTTGAAACGATTGCCAATTTTCTTCAGACTAGTACCACTTTAAAAAAATGAAATTCAGGAATCTAAACTCATAACCATTTCATCATGGCAGTGAAGGCAGACAATTATTTCTGCACAGCAAGTTTGCTGCCACAGCTATCAATTTCGTAACCTAAGAATACCATCTTTTATTGTGTCATTTGATGATCATCCAATATTGCAAGGAATGTATGAATAGCTGTAAGAATGGAGTCTGGGCAAGAGCAACGATCCACCCCGTCCGAGGATAATGATACACAAGATCAGCAAGGTCAACAAGGTCATACACGATGTTCAGCCAGTCCAATTCTAGGCACCTTGTTTGACAAGCAGGTGCTAGGTAGCTATGTACACCAACCCTGAGGGTTCTGATCATCGCTTTGTGGAAAGGGGCCCTGGTAACTTCCAGGGGGAAGGACAAAAGAAAACAATACAAGGCAGGACCAACAGATGAATCAGCCCTATATATTGTTTGTTTGTTTGTTGTTTAACGCTGCACTCAGCAGTCAGCGAGTCTGACCACCCAATCCCATTAGTCGCCTCTTACGACAAGCATAGTTGCCATTTACAGCAAGCATGGGTTTCTGAAGACCTATTCTACCCCGGATCTTCACGGACCCTATATAATTGAGCATATTATTAATAAAAAATAATATTGTTATTTATATTTTTTACAATATATAGGGAAAAAAAATATATATATATTTTGTAAAAAATATAAACAACAATGTTATTTTTTATTAATAATATGCTCAATTAAAACATTTTAGTTTTATTTATATAACTTTTATTCCAAGAGTATTTTCAGAAAATGAATCTCAAACATTAATTTTATGAAGTTATTATTCCTCCTCAATCTTGGCATATTGACCAAGAAAATTCGTCAAATGAAAGAAATGATTGGTCTCACTGAACATTGTACTTGAAACAACTTCAAGTGTATGAAGTGAATAAAATCATTGCTACGTGGACCTATTCTCTGAGTCTGGTCCCAACTACCTGGTAACACATTGATGACATGGTTAGAATGACAGCATATGTACCTCACATAACCCAACTACAGGCAAACAACATTGTGTCGAAGTTGAAGGGACCTACGTACGTATTTCGAGTTATCCGAGGTACGACACATCCGAAAAGAAGGAATACGCATCAACCAATCTTGTCAACAGATATTTTCTAAATCTTTTCATGTTTTTAATCAAGGTGCTCACGTGATTTGATGCACTTCACGGTGTAAGACTCGTTTTATCACAATATAGATCTTGATTATCGATCAGATCATCTTGACTGGGCGCAACCGTTTTGTTTGAAGCAAATACGAGAGGTTGAATCTGAATGGTCAGTAGGAGAGTCATAGAAAGGACATAACTCGCAATAGCCACTGGTGGTGCTACGGACAAGCCCAGGAATTCCAGCCTAGTTCGGCAAGGGTGGAAACTTGACTTTTAAAGTCAGTTAACTCCCTTGCCTCAGGAAGATGGCATCAACCAAGCTTTTATTTCAAGACAACCGTAACTTCGACACATCAAAGTTTGACACAACAGTGTTTGACTGTATCTGAAAACACTATGATGGGTGTGGTTAGTATATGTACCTCTCGTTTTGGTCGTTCGGACAGCTTGGCCTCGTCCCCGACGGCTGTGATATGCAACAGCACCAACTCCATGTGATCGATGGGGATCAATCTGCAACACACAGCAACAGCCTTTACAACACTGTATACCCTTCCTGTCAGACACACAGCTTCCATACCTGACCACATACATCTGACTGAACACAGACACCATAGAGTAACCATCTCTAATGGTGCCCTCATTTAGTTACTGTAACAGTTCAGGGCCCGGTTCCACAAAGCCGTCCTAGTGCAAAGATGATCGTAACAACCATGCTTACAGTAGTCGTAGAGCTGAGATCGCTTTGTGGAATGGGATCCTGAACTTAAATGTGTATTATAACCCATTGGAGTTCAACAAACTTAGTTCTTCTAATACCAAAATTTTCAGAAAAGATCTTTGATTTTTTGCCATTTCAGAATTTTTATCATAATTGTTAAATGAAATTGAAAATAATTCACATTATTAATTATAATCATTTTTATTCATATCAGATGTATTTTGAAGTCAAATATGAAAATGAAATATACATGTCAATTAATGCCATAATCAAATGAGAGGATTGCAATTAACCTTCTCTGATAAAGGATACATTACATTCGGTTGGCAATATATGCCACCTGTTCAAGGATACAGTTCAAGGTGTGCTTGATCAAGGATACAAGATTCTGTGGCAACACTGTCCTGGATACATGATCTTCTTGATTCGGAATGTGCAGAGAACATTGTCCTGTATATGTGACTTTCTTGATTCAGAAGGTTCAGACGACACTGTCCTGTATATGTGACTTTTTTTATTCAGACGGTTCAGACGACACTGTCCTGGATACATGATCTTCTTGATTTGCGAGGTGCAGACGACACTGTCGAGCATGAGTCCTACTCCACAACTGTATCTGTAATTAGCAAAGTTAAAACATCATAAATAGAGTAATACAGCATGTCACTATAGCATTAATAGTTAGCATTGGGAGATCAGTATAGAAAGTTCACACCACTTTGAGCAATATTCCTGCCATATATACTAATTGAAAGAAGTAAAGAGTCAACCCAAATCTTTCATACTACCATAGTTAATCTGTCCTGCCATGTAGTGTCATATGAAAGAATTGAGTGGTCGTTAACTTCTTTTGAGTAGTATATATCATGTCGAGGACCACAAAGAATGGATGTCACACTGTATCCATGTGGAACCTGGGTTTTTCATGTGATGAACCTTTGTTTTATCCACAAGGCTGCTTCATTAAACTTGTCTGTTAGAGGTTTTCTTAGCATGGTATTGATAAAAACACAATGCCTCACTGGTGTATTGCTGTGTGCTTTATATTGCACAGCCTCATGCGGAGTAACCACACACCTCAACATTATCATAATATTAACATGCATGAACCACTTGTACAATACCATCCATAAAACCATACAACTTTAATAAAAGATGTCATGTCCAATTAAATAAAGAAGAAGTTGATTCAGGGGGGGGGGGGGGGGGGGGGGAGAGAGAGGAGGGAGGCAAAAACATCAGTAGACCAACCAACCAACTTTGACGCTGTTTTTAGTAATATTCCAGCAATATCAAGGTGAGACACCAGAAATGGGCTTCACACGTTGTACCCATGTTGGGAATCGAACTCGGGGCTTTGGTGTGATGAGTGAACACTTTAACCACTAGGCTACCCGACCGCCCCTATGCATGTGGGAACTTGTTCATGATGGTGCCATGATGTCTTGAACATAGTGCACTGGCTTCATTGTTAAACACTGGTTTTAATCATATTCACTATACAGCTGTAATCAATACAAGGCTTCTGTAAGGCACAATGAATGCCAGTATGACAGTGTGCTATGTCCATTTAGTGCACAAACAATATGAGTGTTATATTACATATGTATGTACTTGTTGAATGAATACAGATCTCTCTGCACTACACTGATTTTTATTAAATATACATGTATTCATGTATGACTTGGTTTTGACATGACTAAAATGCCTTCCCTGGTTATAATGCCACCCTGGTTATAACGCCCACATTTTCCTGGACAGATGTTGGCGTTATTACCAGGGTAGAGGAGCCCTGGCAAAAACTATTCAGATACATGTATAAAACGATCTGCTAATGCATACACTGAAGTTGTTAGACGTTTTTGCTTACATGACCACATAAAAGATAGAACGAACGGTTGCGTTGTCTGAAAGAAATGTGGAATTAGCAGTACTTGTAGTGTAACCATGGAGTTTATTGTTAACTTCATTAAACAGTTTATCACGTGACTAACCACGGGTCCGGGTAGTGGTGTGGGTACCCGGGTCCTACTCAGGACCCACCTGACCCGAGTACCCAAGTTACCCGTCCCAGCCCTAGTAGACTGTATACGAGACCTGGTATTTAGGTTAGTATTTGATTGATAGAAAATCTTTTCTTTGTCAATTTGCCTTGTGACCTTGACTTCAACACACACATGGCACTTCAGGCGCCACACACGGACTTCACATTGGTTGAAGGTACACCTAATCAGGCGTGTTGCAGGGGGACTGCCCAACTAATCAGCATTGTTAATGATTCAGAGGTGAGCGAAATGGGGTCACGTTCAAAATTATTGCACATGCATGCACCTTGTTTTATCCCCTTAGTGCCGAGCACCAGGCAGGGTAAAAAGTACCACAGACCTTCCGCTCTCCGGGCAGATGCTCTATCCACTAGACAATGATTCAGATATAAATTCAGGCAAAGATTGTTTCAGCTCATCAGTGAGTATGATATTGTGTAAGGAATGTAACTGCACTTATAACACAGTTTATGAATGTTCTCAGATGGATGTATTTGTTTTTCTGGAAATCTTTCAAATGAAAACACAAGAGACACACAGCCTCAGCCCTGGCGTTGTTGTAGTATGGTTACTGACTCTGAAATACATTATTTAAAGGGGCATTTGCGGAACTAACGCACTCTGAGTGGGCGTAGCCTATACGAGTGATCGGACAGGTCAATATAATGTCGTAACACACACATTTCATTGGTTAATGCTTAAACAAGTGTACTTATTTATAGCGCACTCCTAAATAAGCTCCGCCCACTGTGATTATTGCAGACACTTAAACACGACCGATTTGATTTTTTATGATAAAACTACAGAAGATTTATTGACTTATATCAAGATATGGAGCCATTTCTGGTATCCAAGGTTTGTCATTCATGTTCATACAAAGTTGGACGGTCTTTGGTGATCTTGTTTTCGTACGGTTTTCAAAAAGCTTCTCCCGACACTCAGTTGTGTTTACGTAGCCAGTCATTGTCCGAAACTGAAACACAGCCACAGCATTATTTGTTTTCAAGTAGTTTACAGATTTCATGACAGCAGAAAAATCAAATCTGAAACCCACTATAAATTTAATTCACTGATACTTACATGTTCCCCACCTATAAATTACATACAATACATTAAACTTTGAAACCAATAAAATCAGTTATAAGAACAAAAATAAACAAGGCAAGAAGTGAGCAGGGATCACTAATATCCCCAACTTTGACTCCAACATATTTCTAAGTTCACAACATGAAAAAAAAGCAATATTTTTTCAGAAAATAAATTCACATATCAAAATCAAACTTTGCACTGCACCTCTCCTATTAGTATACAAAGTATTCCTTAAATCAAAAAAGAATCTGAGTTATAGGTTGCACAAATGTTGAAGTAAAAAGATCATTCTAAGTTCAAAACATGTAAACATTCATATTGTTTCAGGAAATCCTACATATCAAAATCTAACTTTGCACTGCACCTCTTCTATTAGCATGGAAACTGTTCGCTTAATTTGAAAATATTCCATAATATAGTTTCTAAGTTATAGGTCGTACAAATGTTTAAGTAAAAAATAAAAAGTAAATATATCAGAAAATCCCAATATTGAAATCAAACTTACATTGCACCTCTCCTATTTCCACAGAAAGTGTTCAAAAGTTTGAAATAAATCTATTTGGTAGTTTTCAAGTTAAAGGTCCCCAAATACCACCAAAATTCGAAATGCCTGGTCTAAAAAAAACATCCATATATCCATTATCTTGTATATAAATAAAACGACAAAACCCTTTCCATATTCATAAAAAATCTCTCCCCAAAACAGAGTCGATTGTATTGTATGTAATCAAGTCTAGGCAATGCAAAGTTACAAATGTAATCGGGGTATGATAAAACACACTAGGTCAAAGCTTCGAGAGTGTTGTATCTGGCAATCACACAACCTTCTATTACGCCTACTCAGCTGTGAACAAGGACCATATGATCCCCTTCTTAAATGACAGGCTGGTTACCTCCTGAACCCAAAACTACACCAGGGAACACAAGATGAACTGAGATTTCAGGGCAATCAAGACAATAACATATGTCAAATTCTTTTTAGAAGTTGCTAATGAACAAACTCAACTTATATCTTTATTTAGACAAAATTCTGAGAAATCACAAAAACCTGCACAGCCGATAACATTTGTGACAGAACACTGCTGAGAGATATGTATAGAATCTTAAAAACATGTAAAGCTTCAAAGAAACAAAACAGTACCCTTCAAATAGAACTAAACACAAGACTGCCTACCTGTAAGTAATCAAGCCAATTTGATTGGCAGCTGACATTATGCATTGCATGCAGATGCAGCCAATCAAACGAGGATGACAATTAATATTGACAAGTACTTGTTACTTAATGACAGTTATTTTCTTTCAAAATAGAAAATCTATACAGCATCTTGTATAAAAATGTAGTCTATTCCTGACAACTGTAAAATGATGGAATGAGTACCAGTATTGTATTTTTAGTGTATGAACCCTTGAAATGAAGACAGAAAGAAAGCGCCAGTCATCAATATTTCACCTCTAGCGTGATGGCCTATAAATAATGGAGAATGGGCCAGGTAAACAGAGATTGATAGCATGAGCAACATCGGATGCCATGTTGACACACGGTCATCCAGGTCACACATTGTAGGGGGGCACGGGTGTCCCAGTCGTCTAAGGCGCTGTGATTCACTGTGCAGAGTTGGGTCCCTTGGGCACGCCAGAATTCTTTGATTGTGGGTTTGAGTCCTGGTTCACCCCGATTATGTTTCTAGGTTTGTCAGTACCATTCCTGTGCTTGTGGGTTTCACCGAAGTGGTAAACGTCTGAGACCTGCATCACTTCGGGCTTTCCTCCCACGTTAAGCTGACACGCCGTGATATAACTGGAATACTGTTAAAAGTGGCGTTAAACCAAACTCACTCACTCACACATTGTAATAAGCTGATCCTTATTTGTCAGCCCTTACAATCATGGCATTAGGGAACTTCAAGCTGCCAACTCCCCTTCGGTACTCAGGATTTGGGGGTCTCAGCTGTGTGGTACGTGGGACGCAACTATAATTGTATTTTGTACTCAGTTTCTACATTCCCCAAAAATTATTTGTTTTTGTAAAAGTTTCCTAAATACATTATATTTTTTCAGTAATTTAACTTCAAAACTGCGCCTTTTTCTCAATGCTTTTGAGATTTGTGTTAAGTAGTATTCAGGATTCAGGTGTTAGCAATGAGAAAACTTAGATGGTATTCAGGATTCAGGGAGGGTTGGCACCCTTGTATCTGGGACCTGCCAGAATCCATACAGAGGTGTGAGACACCAAGCCCAATCATCAGTATGACGAGCCATAGTTGGAACCACCAGGCTCTGCTCCAAGAATTCCTATAACAGTTTCCACTGAAGCTCCCTGACATGTGAAAGTTAGTGCATGTTTTGGCCACCGTCAGCAAAATCTTATGTCGTCCTGTAATAATCAACTTGCCCTGGAAATCCATTGGTTGACTGCATACCATCGGTGTACAATGACACAAAATCACTAAGTCAAACAGCTTAGCCACCCACAGTCAGGTCT